CATTATAGCTTCACTGAAGGTAGGAATTATCTTAGTCTTGTGAGCTTGTTCTATACTCTTTCCAGCCTGGTAGCTCAAAAGCATTCTGAATGTTTCAGCAGTTGTATTAGACCACACACTCTGAGTTATTCTGGTGTTGCCACCTCCTTTACGGTGCATAGATATCAAAAACCACTAAAGATGATTCTGTAGTAGAGGAGGGGGAGGTTTTGGCCCAGCATACTGCAATGTTAACTGCTCTAGTCACCAGCTGCTGAATAAAAAGATCTTTTGGTATGCATGTTGCACAGGTGCATTTAGCACTGCTGTAAAATTCTAGGAGGAGATGAGTCATTTTTACATTGAACTGAGACTTTGGTCATACATTGCAAAGGATAAACGAAGCTGATCCTTTTTATTTTCTACATAGTTATTTCAGTCGCACTGTTGGGTTGGCTGCTATACAGCGTGCTTTATAGACATTTAAACACTCTCTTAAAAAATGTTTATCTGAGAGATACCAGATGCCTTGGGTTTCATCCAAGGCTTCCATAGAAAGCCATAAGCACAAAGAAAAGAAATTATTTCCAATGTGTTTCTTAGCTGATTACAATACTGCTTCCATACTTAAACTGGTGTTCCTGGTAACCCTGGTATAGGTAGCAGAGGGTGACTTAATGGATGCTAAGACTCAGTTTGCTCATTTCCATATGACTTGTAGAATGACCTACTTTGCGTTGAGCTCTCTTTGTTGTTTCAGCAAAATGTGCTTGGGTGTACAAGTCTGGGCTTTCATTAGGATGCTGCTCAGCTAGTACTGGGTTTTGTGGTTTCTGTTTTAAAGCAAGCTCTCATTTCTTTAACTTAGATTAATTTACTTAAAAATGTTCATGAAAGAAATATTATTTTTTTCTTGATCTTTTTCAGATTATCAGAGACTGATGACTGTGGCAGAGACCATCACAGCACTAATGTTTCCATTTCAGTGGCAGCATGTGTATGTTCCTATCCTTCCAGCATCCCTCCTTCATTTTCTAGATGCTCCTGTCCCTTACCTCATGGGCTTGCACTCTAACGGGCTGGATGACAGGTCTAAGCTGGAACTTCCTCAAGAGGTGAGAGGAGCTCATCTTGATTGATTAAATATTGTACGTGACTATGAGGGAAGCGAGAAATGAGGCAAAACACTAGTGCTAACTGTAACAGCCATTGTGAAGTTCTCACTGGCTCTGGTTTGGGATAGCTCTTACTTTACTTTTCAGAGATGCTGGAGTGAATCTGGTGAAATAGATTAATAAACCCCTGTTTTGGAAATTGTATGCTCTGATAAAATTAAACTGTAATTTTACAGGTATTGATGCAGTGGGATTATGGGAAGAACACTTCTGTGCTGCAAAACTTAGCTCTGTAGTGCTAGGAAGCGCAAGAAAGCGCGGTGTGAATTCACCAACTGTGGCCAAAAGGCCATACAGCTGGTTTTGCATGGTGCTGAGTGAGCAAAGCTTGACTGGCTTCAGCCCTGTGCTGTGCTTGGGCCGGTTCCTGGCTGTGCAGGATTAGGCTGGGTTTCCCTGCAATGCATTTCTGAGTTGGGGTTGGCTTACATGGACCCAGCTTGTCAGGTGTCTGCACCAAAACTATTTAAAATTTTCTTCTAGAATGCATCCTTCAGTCTGCAGCAAAAGTCAGCATCTACTTGAGCAAACTGGTGTTCATTGCGATAGTGCTTAGGAAGTCCTCCCTTGTAGTGAGGCTCTGTTAACACTAGCCACTGTATGAAGGAGAAGCAAACGGTCTTTAAAGGTCCTGCAACTCATAGATGGGGCTGGGACTACGTTCAAACTTCTTAGAGGTTGTTTTTATTTACTTTATTGCACTGTTCACTGCACAGATATTCTTTTTAGGGACATGCCAAGAGAGAGTTTAAGAGCTGGTTGTGAGGATCAGGGGATCGAGAGTGGTTGAGCACTACCTGACGTAGCAAAGGAAATGTCTGCAGGAGCCAGTAACCACCCGTGGGAAGTATGTCAGGTGGCTGGCGCCTGGCTGGCTCATGAGGCAGTTCCATCAGTCATCTGAATGACTTCTCTCATCGAGCACCATTGAATGGTTTGTTTGCTCTTCTATATAGAAAATGCTGAGTGTTACAGTATGGGCTGGCTGTTGTCAAGAAGCTGGACGCCCCTGTGGGAAGCGAGTGCTTGCAGAGTGATTAGCTGTGGAACAACACAGCCCTGGCCCCTGCTAGAGTCTGCTTACTTGTAGGTTAACTTTGTGGGGGAGGGACTGGATAAACTGTGGGAAACACCCCACTTATAGGCACTGGTAGGATTCTCTAATCTCTGCCATTTTCTCTGGTTGCCTGTTTTCTTCTATTATCATTTACATTACCAGGAAAGCAGAAGTGTGGCAGGCAGAGGGTTTTGTGGTGGTGTTTTTTATTTTCATTATCAGGCAGTGCTGCAACATAACTTGACACAAAAAAACTTCTTAAAAAAGCTGCGTGAAATTAAAGACAAGATATTTTTGTGAACCTCCAGTCTGGTCACCATGCCAACGTTGCTCTTTTTCTGAAATCCATATGCTGATAGTTTTCATTTGTTTTTCCTGGCAAGTTCAAAGGAAAATTTCTCTTCAGTGTTATTTTTTTCTATGAAAACTGAAGTATTTAATCTCTTGATTTCTTTCTTTTCTCCCTCTCTTTTTTTGCACTGGCATAATTAATAACAGAGTAATGTATGTTCTTGCCATGAAAACAGTCTATTGCTTTGGTTTGCTACACTTTTACAAAATTTTGGATGTACTGACAGGCCTAATTAATATGGTTAGTATACTTTTTAGAGAAGATAGCTGGTGAAGTAAAATGTGTGTGTGGATATGTGTGTTAATATGCACCATGGATGTTTTCAGTATTATAACAAGTTTCTAAAAGACTGTCCTCCTTTTGTAAAGAATTTCCTCATTTTAAAATCACTGTAATACTTCCAATTAAATAAACGCATTTTAATTTCAAGTAGATATTTCAATTATTTAAAAGGTAAATGGTTTTGAAGAGCTTTATCAGCTTACTTTGGAGGTTTAAAGTAAGGTAGTTGATCTATTTTTAGATGTTAAGAATGAAATCAAAGTAGTATTAAAATAATCTGGCACCTCAATTTACATTTTGTTTTACAGATAGCCTTTTATGAAGGTGGAGAAGTAGATTTTTGATAGTATCTTACAGACATCAGAATTGTCTGGGAGGGCAGGACACACAGGACTGAGATACCAGCAGCAGTGTGCCCATGTGATGGAATTTGCTGGGCTTAAACTTGTCCTTCTGAAGCTTCAGCTTTTCTTTCTTATTCAAAGAGTGAGCTCTTAAAGCTTTGTACACGATCAGTATGACAGTCTGAGATACCCACTTGGTAGTCACTGCTGAGTAAGGTTTCTTGTGAACTGCTGAAGTCCTTAGCACTGCAGGCTGGGAATGTAGCTATGGCATAGAAATGGACTTGAACATGTGCTGGAGACTTCAAAGATGAATGAGAAGTTATCCTATACCAATAGATTTGCTTATCCGAGAGGCAAAGTAGACTGGGAAGAACAGGAGTTCACTATTAGTGAGATTTTCATTGTAGAGTGTTTACTTAAAAAAAAAAAAAAACCCAAAACCCCCAAAACACCAAACCCAACACAACCTGCTGTTGCAACAAGAAGTAAATATACCATTTTAAAATGTAAAGCAGAATTCAAAGTGCATGCTGGTCTCACTAAGTGAAACTATTGGTCTTACCAGTATTTCTGATACTAGTACTTTAATCAGTCAGCTTTAATATATTTAGAATTGCAGATTACAGGTTCATCTCAAAACTACTTTGCTGTATGATTAGGCTTTCAGATACCCCTCACTTAAAGAGCCAAAGAAGCTCTACACTTAATTCCTGACAGAGAAACTGACAAGGAACATGCATAAAATGTGGTGGTGTAGAACAGTAGGAGAGGGCACGTGGATTCTATTATTTGTACTTCAATAAAGACAAATTTATCATCAGTAACAAAAAGGATATTAATATTTAACATTGCTTATCTCTAAAGTTTGGAATGTATATGATCCTTTATGAAATCATCAGGGTTACATGAGGAACTTAATTTCCAAGTCCTGCCTCTAGGTGCCTGATTCATAGGGATGGTAAGTATCAGAATTTTCCTCACTTATCGCGAAGGGTATATAAAGAGCTGTTCTATGTTCTAATTTATTCTGAGTTCTGGAAAAAAAAATCTTTTTTTTCTTTTCTTTGTCTTTAAACTGCATAAACTGCATCTCTGTTGCTAATCTATTTACATGGATGCATGGGACAGCTGCTGTTAAAGAAAGCAATATCTAATTTAGTCAAGGGCCAAAGAAGTGAGCTTTGACAGAAAATCTAGTTAGTGCTTCTCAGTTGAAGGGCATTGTGGAAGAATATAATATTGCTATCTAGCATAGCATGGATGCCTCAGTGTCACTGTAGACTTCTTGATTGTTTTTTTATAGTGAAGTTTTAAAAATACTAATTTGTCTTCCCCAAAGTGTTTTAGGCTAATACATGTGAAAATACTGTCTGTCCTAACTCAGTCAGGTTTCGTTTAAGTCTTGCACACATATGCCATAAGGCTTGTTTTGGTTTGCTTGTGGTGGCTCCATATTTTGGTCACATCTGGTGCTTTAAGGGAGTGCTTTACCACGGGAGCATGGAACCCCAGCTGTATCCTAGAAGTTGATGCTTTGTTAGATGATTATAATCTTCAGCAAAATAACTGCATTAGTACAAAATTCAATTTTAGACTATCCCTTGTGTACATCAGAAAACAGGGCATGATGGAGAGAGAATTCATTGAAGTTCACCAATGACTTGAAGACCTGACTTTCTGTGGCCCAGTAAAACTGTAGAAAAGTCTCGAGGCTTACTGTAGCGTTGAGTTTCTCGTACGTGTCAGCGATACAGTGCACTTAAAGTTAGGCTTCTTCTTATATTTATTGCTGCCTTGCTGAGGGCTCTTTCTGTATGCATGAGCATCCTTGTGGTTTCACTGATAGCTGCATCAGAGGCTTGTAAGGAACCCAGAAGAGAAAGGGGGGGGAGAGGCATGGGAGAAGCGGTGCTAGAATAAGGTGCTGCAGAGATCAAAGGGGAAGAGAAGAACATGTAGCTGTTCCAGATGTTGCTGGCAGAAGTGTGGTTTATCGGTAAAATTGATCAAAAAAAGTGGTTAAACTAGCTTTCTTGCAGATCATAAACCCAGCAAGTACTAAAATAAGATTGTTTTTTTCATGTGTCTTTGAATTTCCTTTTAAAGAAACTTTTGCAGTGCTATAGCAATATATTTTTAACAAGCAAGTTAATCCGGGCCATTTCATGCTACTGGATTTGCATGTGCATCTCATCACTCTGTAATGCAGGAGAATGGTGGAAATTTAAATTATTTTGAGTGAAAATAAGCAACACTGAGTCTTCCAGCACTGGTTAAATCAAACAAAATGGAGTGATCCCAAGGGTCTTGGGCCATAGCTTTTTCTTTTAGAAAAGTTGAAAGATCTTAAAAGCTAAAATCCAGTTTTCTGCTAATACAAGACAGATAGACAGATACATATTCTCAGTATTCTTATTTCAACCATTAAAAAGATCTTATTCAATGCTAAATCTGTGGGGTTTTATTTTTGTATGTTGTTTTAGAAGATAAGAAAGATCTCCTGAAAAGCTTTTTTTCCTCTTGATGTCAACACATTTAGACCAGACTGACCAAGATAACTATTTTGAAAGATAATCACTGCTTTGTATGCATTCTTAGGCTATCTGCTGGTGTGATAGATCCTTGATAATACTGCAAACTTACTGACAGACTTCAGTTTTATGTTTTCCTGTATTTCAGTGCTAAACAGCCTCTTGAGGAGTTAAATTCATGTTTCTGAAAGCTGCAGCTGTAAGTTGTTCTCAGTCGCAAATTTTGGGTTGACCAGAATGGTCACAGGACCATTGTAAACATCTTTTTCACAAGCCAACCGTGTGTGTATGACATAACCATGTTTTCTGTGTAAGTGAAGTGGGTGGTTATTTGCAAGGTTGGGACCTAATACACAAAGATGATAACTGCTGTAGAAATGCTGTAGGTGAATGGTTTTTAGTTTTTCAATGCTGTATTCAAGCAGACGCCTTAACTCAGAACCATGTTTCAATGTGACTGTCTGGGAGGGGATGTGAAAACCTGTATGTAACCTATAGTTTGAGCACCTGAGCTGCACAGAGGATTCAAGTAGTGGTGATTGTGCTATCAGAACTGACTGTTCTATATTGTCGTATGCATCTATTTGCATACCATGTAATTATGTATTAATGTTTAAAATAAAGCATATTTTCTCTTTAAGATGTCAGTGGGGTGGGGAGTTTACTCATTATTAGTGAATATTAGTTCCTCCTTAGACATCCTTTTGGCAGAACCTAGATCACTTCCTTCTATATTTTTGAACAGAGCTGAAAGGAAGGATATGGGCTTGATGCAGGAATTGCTGTGGGGGTTTGGCCCTTATTGTACTTGAGGTCAAACTAAAGAATTGCAATTGTCCTCTGGCTTTGGAATTGATGGGTGTAGTCCAGACCCCACTAAGCCACTGGAAAGTTGTGCTGTTGACCTCAGAGGACCAGGCTTTGGCATCAGATACATGAACATTGACTTGTTTGCATCCACACTTCTAAGGTTTGCAAGACTTTCACCTGGACACCCTGTTATTTGTGATGATAAAAGTTTGTGGGAAAGACAAGTTTTTAAATTAGGATGTGACACCCTTGTTCCTTAGTGTAGTGTCTCAGAAGAATAATTTTATTGTGTGATGATGTTATGTGCCCTCTCTTGTAACAATCTGCTATTAAAGTGGTGTAACTATTTGAGGTTTTGTTTTGGTCAGAAAACTGATACCTCAGCAACAAATAAAAGAATATTTGACTGTTCTAGATGCCTGAAATACTAAACAACTAACTTAAGGATGTTCTTTCAATTGTATCTCTATTTACACATGTTGCTAAGTATCTTGTCTTTATATCATTTATATAATTAATTTTGAATGTATAAAATGATGATCATTGTATCCATAGAGGCTTACATACAGAGCTGTCAGCTATTCACAACTCACTCAACTCTGCTGCCTCCAGAAACAAAATAAGTAAAACTTTGTGATCAAAGAACTCCTTTATTTTTCTACTTTGTGTACTTACTTGCCCAGTTCCTAGCATGCAAAGTGCTTTGGATGGCCATGATTTCATAAAAAATAAGTGCCATTTCATTTCTCTTGCTTTTTAAAATAAATTGATAGTGGGGACCCCTCTATCCTTACTGGTATTCCTTTCTGTTGGATCTGTAGTGTAGCAGCATTGTGAGACTTAACTGTTTTGGTGTCTGTTACTGGCAGTTTATTTACTTGGGATTTCATTTTTACAGAAAAATGTTGTTTTGGTACCTCTTGAAGTGCTTGTGAAGTGAGGTGTCTTTGCCATTTCTGTTCCCTGAGGAACATGGCCTTTTCTGAAGTGCTTATGCAGTTCTTGAGGATGACCTCAGTCTCCCTAAGTTAAGGGAGGCTAAAGCCACTTACTGAATCTCCTTTGCTTATGCTGCTCTAGGTAGTCCTCTAACTTATGGGTTACTAACCAGGCACTGAATAAGTGTAGAGTGTCCCCAAAAATACTTTTTACACTCTTTACGGTATTGCTGCACACTAACTTTTTTTTAATGCTTCTATATAGGGAAAATTCTGAGAAATGTCATAGTAAGTTGCATGATAAGCAATCATTGTTAGTGGCTTAGAGTGTTTAAACTATGTGTATTGCTCTTGAAGAGAAACTCTCCAGAAAGGATATTTAACTGTTGGAAGAATTAGCCAAATGAGCCTAGATACTTATAAGCAATTTTAGCAAGCATTAAATTTGGCGCTTTATTCATTGGCAAGGAGTTTATTTTCAGTGTGAAGACTTGAATCTCTACATTGGTAAGGTTAACATTTGGTTACTTTTTGGCCAAGCACTTTTTAGGTACAGCCAAGCTTAACCAAGAGCGATGTTTTCTGCAGAATCTGTGCTACGGTAAGATAATCCAAAAAAGAAGGGAAGTTGAATGTCATCAATAAAAGAGAGTTTAAAAAGGAAGAAATGCAATTAAACTGCTTGAAGAGTTTCTTAATGAGTCTGTCTTGATATTTCTCAGACAGCTTGTGACGAATTATATGTGTTTTGTTCTTCCCTCAGCACTGATTGGCAGGCATTGTGCCTAGTTTCAAGGCTTTATTTTTCTCATGTCCTGAAGTGCTTTCAGTGTTCCTGATAAATATTAGCTGACTTGACTTCTAATCATCACAGAACCATGTGTATAGTGGGGGTCTTGAAGTTACTAAATTCAGATGCTTACTTGAAACATGAGAGTTCTTGTGTACATACTGTCCCTTTGTGCTGAATGTTTCTTTGAACGAGAAGCAGATGCACTCTGTGTGCATCCCTAACCTACCACTGGAGCTGCCTTGCTAGGTAGGCACACACAACGCCTGCTGTGTTTCAGTGTTGTGGTTTAAACCCAGCCGGCAACTAAGCACCACACAGCCGCTCGCTCACTCCCCCCTGGTGGGATGGGGGAGAACACGTAACGGTTACTTGGGAAGACAAAACGTCATCACTCCGAATGTCTCCCCCTTCCTTCTTCTTTCCCCAGATTTATATGCTGAGCATGACATCATATGGTGTGGAATACCCCTTTGGTCAGTTGGGGTCAGCTGTCCCAGCTGTGTCCCCTCCCAAATTCTTTTGCACCCCCAGCCTACTCGCTGGTGGGGTGGTGTGAGAGGCAGAAAAGGCCTTGACTCTGTGTTGTCGCTGCTCAGCAGTAACGAAAACATCCCTGTGTTACCAATGCTGTTTTCAGCTCAAATCCAAAACACAGCCCTATACTAGCTACTATGGAAAAAATTAACTTTATCCCAGGTGAAACCAGGACGCTGAGCAATGTTGATACTGGGGAAATCTAAACAATGACACCTGCCCTATTTAAAAAAATAAAAACTTTTTCTAGGCTGCACCAGAAGCTGTTTCAGAATCAAGGTCTTAGTTCTATTTATTGACCTTGGATTCTTTTGCAACACCTAATTCAATTTGTGATTTAATTTACGGTAAAGGAACTATACGAGAGCTGCTAAACTGTTTTATATGCATTCCTTTGAGCATAAGAAATAAATACCAGTATTAAAATGCTAAAACATCAGGAAATGGAGAACTGGAATTCTTCTTTTTACCTTTGTAACTATGCATAATATTGTAGCAGAGCATAAATTGGACTTCTACATGCAAAGTTCTGTGCAAATCTAGTGTAATGTGTCCAGTGGAGTTCTGCTTTAAAAATTACAGTGTTTTTTTTTTAATTTTAATGTTGAAGTTCAAGAAATCAAACACAACAGATATTTGTGTTTTAAGGAGAATTGACATCCTGACTGTTCTGTAGAAATGCCAAGAGAGCTAAATCTGTCACAAGTATTAAATGTATGTTTTCACACCAGTTTACTTAAATGAAGGGGTCTCGTCAGGCACAGTTTATCCTAGTCTACCTATGAACAGTCTCACAGCAAAATCTTACAAGAACTGCTTTGTCTTTACTGATGCTTCACTGGTTGTGTACATTGCTCTGATTTCTGGGATTATCCATAATTCATTCAGTGTGAGGTTAATCTCTTCCAATTCTCTTTTTCCTATTAAATTGTGAGAGTGCTTCCATCCTTCTGCACTTACTGAATCATAAGAAATAACTGGAGATTTGTTAGCTCTCATGACTTGATATGTATTTTCGCTGCAAAGCTGTAGTGAAACCTGAGTTCAGGTATGCCTCTTAGAATAATGTGATGAAGCTAGGTTGAAGCACCATAATCTGGGTGAAGGGATTTTTTTTATAGGGAAGGCTAAGTGACGGTCCATGTTAATTCTGCAGTGAAGAAAAACTGAAATGCTTCTGCAGAAAAACAATGTTTCTTCTGTATACTTAACTTTCCAAGCAGGTTTCACACATGAATGGGGTTCTTGCTGTGAAGTATGTAATTATGTAATGTTAGGAAACCATTTGTTACAGATTTTGTATTGCAGAAGCCAAAAGGGGGAAACCCCCCCTCACCAAATATAGGGTGAGGTAAATCCTTGAAAGATGTGTAGCTTCTTTTGATGTTGTTGTGGAAGCCACATAGGTGGTTTTTCTTTCTTTTTTTTTTTCTTGGTCTTTTTTTGATGGTAAATGAGATCGATGGAGATTGGAACAGGAAAACAGAATTCAAAGTGGTTCAATTCATTTTTCCCCTTGGAAACAAACTTCTAAACTTGTTAAAGGAATTGCCTTAGTTCTCAAGTTGCTTACAAAAAAGAGAAGGTAACTTTATTGCAGCTTCTGCAATATCAGTACAGCTTTTAGAATGGAATTTGCCAAATCTCTTAGAGGAGCAGACTGATAATCTGAGTGACAGGCAGTCACCTGCATACGTATGCACGTGTATAAAAGAGTGTTGCAAATATCCTGTAATTAAAATCTAGCTGTATGTGTATGAAAAAATTTGCACATCTGTACCTAATATGTGCTACAATCTCTTTTGTACCTAGTAAACAACTTTAGAGTCTTTCTTAGTTACCTCCTTGAAAGACCTGGAAATGTAGGCCTTGTGCTGCTTTCTTCAAAGCCAACCAACCAGTTCAGTTATGGTTGGGGCAAGTCTGTTTTACAAAATAACCAAACAAATGCAAATGTATTTGAATCTTTTAATAAGCACAAAACCCAAAGATGAATAAAACATGACCCTTGTGCTTAGTGATATTGTAATGGTATCCTGTTCTAAATTAAATCCCAGGCTAACCTGTGCTTTGTGGATGTAGACAACCATTTCATCGAGCTGCCAGAAGACTTACCCCAGTTCCCAAATAAACTTGAGTTCATTCAGGAAATTTCAGAGATATTAATGGCTTTTGGAATTCCACCTGAGGGAAACCTTCACTGCAGTGAAAGTGCCTCCAAGATGAAGAGCCTCAGAGCATGTGACCTAGTTTCTGATAAAAGAAATGGGAACATAGCAGGATCACCTTTGAATTCGTATGAGCTGCTAAAGGAAAATGAAACTATTGCAAGACTCCAAGCACTGGTTAAAAGAACAGGTGTGAGTCTAGAAAAGGTAAGCTATGAAATTATCTGCACTGTCTCTCGACCTGCAGTAGCAGGTGGTCTGAAGTCATGGTCCAAAGACTCTGTCTGTCTTCACTAGAAAGAACTTTATGTTAACATGCTCACAAACCTTGTGGACATCTGTAGAGAACAAGGGCAAGCTTGGGGGAGAGGGGGAGTGGGGTTTAACCCCACAACATCTAGGGAAACCTTTGGCTATCCCCCAAGTGTTTCTTTGCCAAGATAATGTGTTTAAAAATACAGCTTGCCTTGTTTATTCTTGGTTTTAAGATTTATTCTGAATTTATACCACTTCCTTATGATTTACATGGCTAAAACTGACGTCCAGATAATCCTGAAGTTGGAATCCAATCTCGGTTTCTATAGGTATCTTTCTTTCTCATTGTGTGTAGTAGAGTATGTATAATTTTACTTGTATATAATATGCTTGCCATAGGGATACTGTGATGCTTTTTTCTGGTTGATGTTGTAAAGTGCATTAGTGTCTGATTCCCAGTGTTGTCCCGAACGCAGGCTTGTTACCCAGTGTACAATGCCAGTTTACACACCAAGGCGAGGTGTTTCCATTTCTTTTATTCTAGTTTGCGCAAAGTAGGGAGCTAGGTGGTAGCTCCTACACAAAAGAGTAGCTCTCCGATTATCAAAAGTTCACACTATTTATACTCTATTATCTATTGGTTAAATGATTCTCTCGCTTCTTATGCTAATCAGTCCGCATGCTCAGCCTTTCTCTTCTTTTGGGTCAGAGGGTTTCTTGAGTCGGTGGTTGTGATCTCCCCCTGTCGGAATTAGCTCTCCTTCACCTTTAGTTTCACGCTTCGGCCGTTGCAGCCAAATTCCTGTGGTTTTGCTGATAAAACAAGTTATCTCCTAACAGCCTGGTTTATACAAGCCAAGATGCCCTGTTTGTCCAGGATGTGTCTGATTTATTTCCCTTGGATTAGATGCCATGCCAAGTATTTACTTCGAACCTCACCAGCCTTGAATAGTTAACAATGCACTGGACAAAATAATTGCAACATTGATCAATGGCAGCCTTGTGCAAACTGACATCACCAGCAAGTGAATGTGCACAGCTCATGGTGACCCTGATTGGATTTTTTTGGGCGATCAGAACTGGGAAAAAAAATTTTTGCCCATTTTGCAGAAAAGGTGTTACCTGAAAGACCACTGTGGGTTTTTTGAGCCTTTGTGGAATGGAATGAAGATTTCCTCAGCAAAGGTTTTATTTCTTGCATGTTTAAATTACCTTGACCAGTTCTTAATTGCTGAGTCTGATTCCTACCTGTGTGACTGTAACTTGGGCTACAGGTGGGGCCAGAGATAGAAATTGTGTGACCTACAATAGGTTAGGGAGGAGAGCCGCTTTGTGGGGAGAGAGCTGTAGGGGGGTTACAAGAAGAAATGTTTGGTTACTAGACAGGATTAGAAGCTCAAATCAGCTGTGTTCCTCTTCTCAGGTTTTTCTTTTGCATTGTTTTCTTCTTGTTCAGGGGAAAATTGGTAAGAAGCTTTTGTTCTTTTGCTGAATGGATTGGGAAGTGATGGGAGAAGTACAGGTCTTTTTTTAATTTCTTGTAAGTTTTTGCACATTTAGGCCTTTCTACTCTGTGCTTTCTTCCATAGTAGTTAAAGTCCCATTTGACTAGCCTTTTTTGTGATGATAGGAGTATCATCACAACTGTCATAACTGTCAAAACACACACCATAACTGTCAAAATTTTCTCAAATACTTAAATAATTGAAAAAACCTGCTTAATACCAAATATCCAATGAATGGAGAATGTATAGATGCCAAGTGCTACTTATGGGATGCAGTTAGAAATGGCTGAATAGCAGAGCTCTCTCTAGCAGAGAGCATGGCTGTAGGATGCTATTTATAGCTGGCCTTGGACTGCTACAACCAAGGTGCTTTAAGAAGCATGGGACAGCTGCAGCAACTGCATCATTGTGCAGATGTTGTAAGCTCTAGATATTATGTCTATAATAATAGACATAATATTATGTCTATAATATCACACAATTTGTGTGGCAGTGTCTCTTATAATAACTAACAAAGGCAGGGGTAGCAAATGTGTATTCAAAATAGTGCATGAATGCTTGTGGCTTTGAATTTTTTTTTTTCTTCTAAATACTCAAGTCCTATCAAAACCAGTATGAATTGAATATCTGAGTCTCATATTGCTGTTTTCATAAATCTTAGCCCATGCGTTAACTGAAAATGCATTTTATTTCATTGAAGACTACTCTGGGCTGTGTAGTGATGAATTCTGCATTACGCTGCTAAGGACTTAGGTTAAAGGAAATTGGCTACTAGACATGCACAGCTGCTTTTTACTGTGCATTTCTGTCTTCATTTGAAAGCTGGTATGTATTGAACTGTAACAGTACTAAATCTGGACTTCTATTACACCAGACAGAAAAATGTATTTGCCTAACATGCAGGGGTAGTAAAAACCCCTAAAAAGCCTATGCAGGTGATTAAAAGGGTAAAAGAAAGTAATTAAGTATATGGCATACGTGGGCATGTATATGGTTATTATGTATCCTTTTTTAATCTAATGCGTATCCAGTGCAACCAGTACTAAAGTAGGTTATGGTTTATTATTGAAATTAGAGCTTTTATAGACAAAGGTTTCTTTCTAGATTTTTTTTATCTTGCTGTTTTATTACAGTGCTTGAAACTGTAAGTAATTTTTTTTTTATTGGAATGTTGACTTGAGGAGTAGCAGCTGAATGGCAGATTAAGATCTTGTATTGTTGCTTTGTCAGGTATTCCAGGTATACAAATTTTTTTTATTCCCTTACTTTCTCAGTTGGAGGTGCAAGAGGAGACCAGTAGCAAAAAAGATCTTAAAATTCAGTGTGATGAAGAAGAATTCAAGATTTACCAGCTGAACATTCAAATCCGTGAGGTTTTTGCCAACCGCTTTACACAAATGTTTGCAGATTATGAAGTATTTGTCATTCAACCCAGTCAGGACAAGGAATCTTGGTTTACAAACAGGGAACAGATGCAAAACTTTGATAAAGTAAGTTGTAATAAGAAGATATGTCAATGTGAAAACTAAAACAGTATTAAAACCTAAGACTTTGTTTATTGGGCCATAAAATGGAAAACAGTACTGTCAAAATTGTAATTTCTTCCTTAAATTTCAGTGTTCCCAAAAAAAGTCACATCTTGCATATTATGTGGAAAAATATATACATAAACGCACTTAGAGAGAGATAAAAATACTCTTTCAAGGATACCGTAGAAAAATGCAGATTGCTGTAGAAAAATAGCTTAGAAAGCCTCACTTTATGGCTAACCTCTATATTAAGGTTAAATATTACTAGTGAATTTTTTTTTTATTTTTTTTTTAACTAGAGGAATTGCTGAATGTGTTAATGGATAAAGCCATGACCCCACACAACACTTACGTACATGTGTACCAAATGTATCCCTAGCTCTTTTCTAGGGAAACACAAGACCCAGTTCTTCAAATTTTACTGCTGTCTTCTTTACTGGAGATCAGATATTTGTCAGCAGGATAATTCACGTGGGTAAAGATTATATTGCAGCACTGCCTGCTAAAATGCTAATCTGATTCCCATCAAATCGTATGAAAAGATTCTCATCAACTTCATAAGCTTTGAGCCCAGCCAGAAGTACATAATATCCACACCTGCGGTACTGTTGTTGTGGTTTGCTGGGATTCTGTTGAAATTTTTAGAAAATTAAGGAAATGCTAAAATCACAGTTTAATAATTATTGTGCTGTGTAGTAGGTAATTGTCATGAAACGGAAGATTTCATATAGACTGCCTGTTTCAGAGATAGAATTGGTTTGTGTAATAAAACTAGGCTTTAAGTGGCACCAAAGCACTCTAATACATCCTTGGTTAGAAAAATTGGTGCTTTTGGTGTATGTATCTCTCTCTGCAGACTCCCAAACACTCTCATCTCTTCTTATCTGCTAGGCATCTTTCTTGTCGGACCAGCCTGAACCCTACTTGCCTTTCCTCTCAAGATTCCTGGAGACCCAAATGTTTGCATCTTTTATTGACAATAAGATTATGTGCCACGATGAAGATGATAAAGACCCTGTTCTAAGAGTATTTGATTCTAGAGTGGATAAAATTAGGCTGCTAAATGTTAGAACGCCAACTCTGCGCACATCTATGTATCAAAAGTGCACAACCGTTGATGAGGCTGGTAAGAGTAATAAGCCGCTTTCTTGACACTTAAGAAAATACAACTAGTCAGTGCTGTTTGTTGTAGACATTAGGTTAAAGTTAAGTAACAATTCATGCTTTGAAACCTCAAAAAAAAAAAAAAAGACCAAAAAAGCGGAGATGTAAAGCTTAAGCAGGGAACTAAATGTTACATAGGAAGTGGAGATGTGAGATAAAATTAATGTAAAGTTTAATTGAACTCAGCTGTTTTCCTGCATGCTTTGTGTGAAAAATGTTTGAGCTTAAGAAGATAAACATTTTTCTCCTTTTGGTGTCAGTTCTTTGATATTTAATAAACTCTTGTACTAGCATACCTGTTGGGGTCACTAAGAAACTTCCACCTCCTCTCTTAAATTTGAGATCCACTTTTAGCTGAGGATGTATGATTACAGATACATGTCTGATTAAGACACCTTTAAAAAAATTAACTTTCTTACTATTTCAGAGAAATCTATTGAATTAAGGCTAGCAAAAATAGATCACACTGCAGTCCACCCACACTTGCTGGACATGAAACCAAATGTTTGCATCTTTTATTGACAATAAGATTATGTGCCACGATGAAGATGATAAAGACCCTGTTCTAAGAGTATTTGATTCTAGAGTGGATAAAATTAGGCTGCTAAATGTTAGAACGCCAACTCTGCGCACATCTATGTATCAAAAGTGCACAACCGTTGATGAGGCTGGTAAGAGTAATAAGCCGCTTTCTTGACACTTAAGAAAATACAACTAGTCAGTGCTGTTTGTTGTAGACATTAGGTTAAAGTTAAGTAACAATTCATGCTTTGAAACCTCAAAAAAAAAAAAAAGACCAAAAAAGCGGAGATGTAAAGCTTAAGCAGGGAACTAAATGTTACATAGGAAGTGGAGATGTGAGATAAAATTAATGTAAAGTTTAATTGAACTCAGCTGTTTTCCTGCATGCTTTGTGTGAAAAATGTTTGAGCTTAAGAAGATAAACATTTTTCTCCTTTTGGTGTCAGTTCTTTGATATTTAATAAACTCTTGTACTAGCATACCTGTTGGGGTCACTAAGAAACTTCCACCTCCTCTCTTAAATTTGAGATCCACTTTTAGCTGAGGATGTATGATTACAGATACATGTCTGATTAAGACACCTTTAAAAAAATTAACTTTCTTACTATTTCAGAGAAATCTATTGAATTAAGGCTAGCAAAAATAGATCACACTGCAGTCCACCCACACTTGCTGGACATGAAAATTGGACAAGGGAAATACGAGCTTGGATTTTTTCCCAAGCTTCAGTCTGATGTTTTATCCACTGGACCAGCAAGTAACAAGTGAGTAAGCTAGGACAACAGGTGCTGGATCTTGGCGAGATCTATAGAATGGTACTAAAGCAGAGACACTAGAAAGCAAATTCAGTATCTCTTTTTTTTTTTTTAAGTGAGAAAAATCAGATGATGTGGGTGGGTTGTGTGTGGTGGGTTTTTGTTGTTTCTCGTGGGTTTTTTTTTCTTAAAAATCTGGACTTCAGAAGCAAATTGACTTAAAGCCCTATTATGTTTGTGGTTATAGTTGATGTACTTTGAGTTACTCATAACTACTGTCAATATAAAAGCAGCTCTCCTAATTGGATCTCAGTTAAGAGCTAGCAAATATTTTAGGATATCTTCTTACAAAAACTTCGAAGGAAGAAGAAAAAGGTGTAAATTGTAACTGGGTATCATAAAAGAATGGAAAAATACAAAGCAAGTGTATGTGATCTAATTTTCTGAAATCCTTTGGTTGCCCAATGTTGGATTCTTCTATAGAGAGTCTTTGTATGTATTTGCAGCTGCACTTTGTCTGATGTAATTGATGTCGACTTGTTCAATATACAATAAGAGAGAAACTTCTTATTCATTGCCGCTCCCCTTCACCTAACTCTTGACATTTGCTTAATAATATTCCTCCATCTCTAGGTGGACAAAGAGAAATGCTCCTGCACAGTGGAGGCGGAAGGACAGACAGAAGCAACACACAGAGCACCTGCGTCTTGACAATGACCAGAGAGAGGTGAAAACTGTTCAACTATAGAGATCTGATATTTTTTCTTTTCCTAATTGCATGAATAATGCTCTGTAACCTTTATGAAATGTCTAGACAGTTACTTGCAGTCCGTCTCTCTCTCCCTTATTTGTGTTTAATACAAATGAAGTTCCTGGTCCTTAGCAGGCCAAAAATACTTAGTTTACTTATTCTAAAAGTTATGCCATTTTTACCCTCTCTCAGGACAAAATTATTTCATCCCATGTATAGGAGAGTTCCCTGAAAATGTCATCATATGCTTGAAAGTTTAAAAAAAAAAAAAGGGAGTGGGGTGGAAGGGAGGAATTAAATCTTAACAATTTTTAGCCATCTATTTCCTGTCTCTAACTTTGTCACCCTATGCTTCTTTTATATATTTGATGGAGGAAAGATAACCACCTCCAGAGAGTGATTAATTTCATCCTAAAACCAGAAGCATTGCCTTTTGGAGTTGCCTGTTTTTCTTCTGTAGACCATAAAAGAAGACTTAAGGTGGCAAATTGACACACAACCTCATGCTAAAGTGGGAATGTGAACCCCACCCATACTGTCAGGTTTGTGTCTGCCTGTTTTTACACAGCACAGTCTGATGCTGATTTACCCACCTTCTGAACTGATAACTTTTCTTACCAGTACTTCTACAGCTGACACAGTTATTCTTGTGGTGAAGGGATTTTGAAAGATCTGGGTGATGTGAACTAATTACAGTACAATTTTTGATTCATATGATACAGACTGCAGACTGTTACACCAGGTGTTGATTTACGGGTAATTCCAAGAATAATCTGGTTTAAAATATCAGAATTCATTTTTTTGTTTAGTAACCTCAAAGCTTTACTCTTTAAATGTATGTTCTTCACTGAAGACAATATTTTCTTGTCTTGTTAAATATCTTCAGAAAAGCTTCATTTGGAATTTTAAAGTAGTCTTGTGTCTGTTAGGATAGTAGTGTCAAAATCAAGTATCTTTGTCTGTCCAGTTTACTCTTTTATGGTAGTGATGAGTTTAATTGCCTTTCCAGTGTACTCATTTCCAGAATTTTCTCATTGGTTTGTTAAAATTTTGTTGAAGTGTAGTGTCATCTATGTCATCCATAACCATGTAATAGAAGAATGTCTGCATAATAAAAAAAGCTACGAGTAGTTTCTGGCTTTGACATGTTCCATATGCTCAGATAACTCTAAGTAAAAAGTACTTTAGAAGTAACAGAAGTGAAGAATAGTTGATTTGTAATCTCAATATGCTTGAAAGTTTTTATGATGTTTATAACAATTATGATGTTTAGCACATGTAAACTTCTGAGATTTCAACGAGGTGATTATAAAGGCAAAAATCTACCTCTAGTCTCTGGGTTTTTTTGTTTGTTTTGTTTTTTAACTGACTCTTCACATGTTGATTATCCTATAGGAATTTTTCTGTCACACGAGGCAAATAATTTCTGAGGAATAAAAATTAGAAATACATGCTCAGGTGAGGGTACCAACTGCCAGGTTAATCTGTGCTGGTGTTTTAGGGTTTTATGCTGTACCTTGTTGATTATATAATACTGATTGGATGTTGATGCCCTCTCCCAGGTGAACCAGAGACTTTCCTATTAAGTCTGAAAGAATGGGGAGGGAGGCCTTTGAGATGAACACTGGGGATCAGGCTGAGCAGGAGGCAGTGGTTTCAAAGTGCCGTGTTGTGAATCTTAGACAAATTGAAGCTTTGAGGCAGCCAACAAAAATCTGTGGAATTGAGACTTAGTGGCTTTTAACTTGCAAGTATTTGTGCCCAGCGGAGGGCAGAGTTTACACCAATCCAATGATGGAACACCATCTCTTCTTTTTTCCTTTCAGCTTCATTACTTAAGAATTTATTGTTATGCTGAATGCTTGGGAGTTCTGCATTGTATTATGTGTTCACTGTTTTCCTTTTCTGTTTTGCATGCTTGCTTTTATTACTTCATATGTTCTTACTACTTTTCGCTTTACATGGTCTGCTTGGCTTTTTGCTACCAACTTGTCCTGCCAGCATCTGGACTTTTCCATGTCAGAGCTTCAGTTGCAGTTATGTTTAGACTGGGACCAGCATGATTGGCCCTTCATGCCCTCTATAAAATCTGTGTCAGAGCATTATCTGGTATGTCCAATGCACAATATGACTGTAATCGTAGTTCTGGATAGATGCATAATTAAATGTATGTATCATAACTACTAGTGCAAAGCTGATGGGGAAGGTGTGGTTTTCCCTCTTTGCAAAGATCACATCATGTTTGATAAACCTGTCTGTTCACTGAATTTTCAGTTGGTCATTATTTCAGTATAAGCTAGAGAAGTTACCTGTTAATCTGAAATATGTACTAATTGTGAGTATTCTGTCAGTGCCTGTACAGGACTTCCTCTTTATCACTTATTCACAGTTAGCTGTGCCCCAACCAATCTGTGATCCCCTGTCTTTTGAAACATTTGTCAAATTATTCTTGTCTCTGAGGTGAAAACAGTGGCAACTCCTTGATGGCAGTAACAGGAGCAGAAAAGCTCTTTCAAGTATAGTGAGTTCAGGAAATTATTTTGCTCAAAAATGCAGATGGTTCACAGCTGAGAGCTGTTAGTAGCATTTTGCAGCTGCTTCCTGAAAGACTGGGGGGGGTGGGTAAGAAACAGGAGATCTGCAGGAAGGCAGGGCATAGCCCCAATCTCAGATGTTGTCAAGCTCCAGGCAAAGTTTTCTTCCAGTCCCCATGTAGACCAGTCTGCCATTTGAATAGTCTTGGTCTGGGTAATTATTACAAATTTTCATTTTGTATGAAAAAATAACAAGACAGTTCTCAGTGGTGGAGGGAGTAATTGACTCTCTATGCATCTAAATATCCTTGGCAGTTTGTATTGTGTTTTTGTTACTCAGCAATGTGTGTTCTAATACTAGATAGGCAACGTAAATGGGTATTTGACCTCCAGTGAAATAGTAACTTAAGCATCTCAGCGCAGTATAATGCTGGATATGAAAAGGGGCCTTTTCTGAAAAGGGATCTGATCCTTTCCTCCGCATTGCATGGGGTGGGTTATAAAGTTACGTTTATCCTTTTCTCTTGGCAAAGTAGTCTCACTTGCACTTTTATTTGTATTTGTCAATTTTGTACCCCAATACAGAAGTATATCCAAGAAGCCAGGAATCTGGGCAGCACTATTCGGCAGCCCAAACTGTCTAACCTCTCTCCATCGGTAATTGCACAAACAAACTGGAAGTTTG